GCGAGCCGCGTGATGATTCGCGAGCTTTCGGATGGACGAGCAAGCAGGTGGCGAGTGAAGACCCGAATGCAGGATTGGACGGGCAACATCACTTGCTCACCGGATCCAACGGTTAGCGGGTTAACAGGCGACGTGGACCGATCCAATGCCCGAATTTTGGCTCAGATTTTGTATATAGAAGATTTCATGGTTTGGACTGGGCCAAGACGAATGGATTGGGTGGGTTTGTTGACCCATGCACAAGTCTATTGAAAACAATGAATTTCATATCACTAGATAGATACGTAGAATGTATCGGTTCAGTTAGTGCTAGTAGTGGCAACCTTAAACAGACTAAAAAGAAACACAGGCATACATGATACATACTCCACTCCTAGTCTCCTACACGGATGCATTATAACTATTTTGATAGCAGGAAACGAAGAAATAGTACTAGTGATTTTTCACTTCTAAATTAACCAATCATCTGTGGCCCAAAGCAAAGTTTTCACTTACAGAGTTACTAGATCAATCAGTTGCATACACATCATGCCCGTGAGCCTAGCTACGACAACACAAATACATGATTCACTATGACTATAGAGAGTTCAAACACCTCTCGGATCAGCGAGGACGAACAGCTATATATATGTTCCAACACCTCTGAACTGAAACGAGATGTAGATGGACTCCGTCGTCATTCCTTAACTCTGGCACGACACGCTTGCATTGCCACCCCTCGTATTACCTTATTCCACGTCTTTGTCCGCCCACGAACCCACGAACCTGCGGTCTCGCCAGGGTTGATCTGCAGTTGTGAAGCTTCTGAATCCGGGTATTTGGAGTTATGAAGGTGTGGCAGGTGCGCATATTGTGTTTTCTGGCTTGTGTTTCTTAGCAGCTATCTGGCATTGGGTATATTGAGACCTAGAAATATTCTGTGATGAGCGGACGGGAAAACCTTGTTTGGATTTGCCCAAGATCTTTGGAATTCATTTATTTCTTGCAGGGGTGGCTTGTTTTGGCTTTGGTGCATTTCATGTAACGGGTTATATGGCCCTGGGATATGGGTGTCCGATCCTTACGGACTAACCGGAAAAGTACAAACTGTAAATCCTGCGTGGGGTGCAGAAGGAAGGATAAGATAGGAAGGGGTACAGTACTAGACTAACAACTACTTAATTTAATATTCATTTAATATTAAATAGTAATTTAATAGAAGTAGTGTAGTTAAGTAGTCATTTACTATAATAATTTACTATAATATAAACTATAATAACTATATTATAAACTATAATATAAACTATAATATAAGTAGTTAAGTAGTCTAAGACTGCCGGCCTCCGTTAACCGGTGAGTATAAATCTCGACCCTCACCAGCAACAATCCTAATAACATTACTGAAGAAACACTACTACACGAATCAATTTGCGCAGCGTGGCCAAAATGGGCTCGTGGCGGGCACCACTTTTGCCCGCCACGGTTAACCGGTGGGTTGGCCACCCGAGGCCGGCCACCGAGGCGCCCCGGCTTCGCTGGAAAAGGTTTACTGCGGCGGGCCACCTTACTTGCCCGCCGCAGAAATTGATATTTACCGCGTGAGGCGGTATGAATGGCCCGCCATGGTTAATAAGATTAATCGCGGCGGGCCACATTAATCGACCGCCGCAGAAATTTATATTTACGCGGCGGGGGCGGCATAAATTGCCCGCCATGCGGTTAATAGTATTTACCGTGGCGGGTTGTTTAAACCGCTTGCGCGGTAAAGCCTCTATAAACACGCGCCCGTCCTCCTCTCCCTTGCCGCGCCCGCCCCGTGCTCCTCCGGCGCCCGTCACCGGAACCCTAGCGCCGCCATTGAGAAGTATCGCGCCGCCGAAGCTCCTCCCATGCTGGCCCGTCCTCTCCTCCCCGGAACCCTTGCTCCAGCGCCCGAAGCTCCTCCAGCCTGCTGGGCCCGTCCCCCGAACCCTAGCGCCACATCAGCACGCGCCCCGCCCTGCTCCTCCTCCTCCCCGTGCCGTGCTCCCCGCCTCGCCCTCCTCTCCCGGAACCCTTGCTCCGGCCTCCGCCGAAGCTCCTCCTCATGGGCTGGGCCGTCCCCCGAGAACCCTAGCGCCGGCCACCGAGCTCCTCCGCGATCACCGTCCACACGCTGGCCCGTCCTCCTCCCGGTCACCGTCCCGTCCTCCTCCCGGTCACCGTCCCCGTCCTCCTCCCCGGTCACCGTCCACACGCTTGGGCCCTGTTCTCGAGCATGACGGGCTCTAGCCGCTACCTCCTCACTTGGAACTTTCTTGCGCCTGTGCCGAGGTAAGAACTAGGCCGAGGTAAGAACTACGTAGTACCTTGGTTCTGTAATTACAATGCTGTCTCCAAAGCTCAAATTTTATTCTTGTAGTAATCGCTATATTTTCCCCATCCTGAAATGTAATTAGAGATTCACATTTGGGCTATCCTAGCTTTCTCTAGGTTCCACTACGTTGTTCTGTCTACTGTGAAAATGCAAAACTGTCTTTCCTTCAGGTATGATGAGGAGTCTTCTAATTCTTCTGTTAACTTAGTGTTTAAGGCAGTTTTCAGTTAGGGTCTGTTTCATAGAGCTCTTAGAGCTGTTTCCAGGCTTAGTTATAAATTATATGCTCATTATGCCAAGCAACTTTGAATATGTAGTCACGTAATTCGTGGATAGGAATTTTCAATATCGCCCATATTTAGCCATGAAACCTGGCTGTCTTTTTAACAATCCCCTTTATAGGCTTATCTCCAACAGGGTTGAGCTGTTTCCATATTTAGCTGGAATTTGTGACCTATTTATACAGGGTTGTCTCCAACAGCATCGAATCTCAACAGCATTGTCTCCAACAACCTATTTGTGAGAAATTTGAGATGAATTGGTCACTCTGCTGCAATTTCTAGTAGTATACTATTACTACTGCCTACTACTTTCTCTACTTAATCTATTCCTATACTTAATTTTGAGATGACCTGCTGTGAACAAGGGGTATAGTAAACTCCTTTTGGAATGGACGGCTGAAAATTGTACAGGATAAACTACACTTGGTGAATTTTGAACTGCTATACTACTGATCTATGATGCTTTTGCTGAACCGTAGCATTTGAATTCAATTCTTTTTGCTGCCTATGATGCCAAAGAAATTTGTGACAAAATTCTGAGCATATGGCACGCCTATGATACACCTTGCCTTTAAACCGATCACATGCTAAAGTTGTGAGAATTTTGAGATGAATTGGCCACTCTGCTGCAATTTTGCCAAATTTGATATTATTTTGGTGGTGGTGCTACCTATTTCTCTACTTAATCTATTCCTATATCTTTATCTGCTACTACTGTCCTCCTATACTACTCCTATACTACTGCTATACTACTATTGTATACTACTACTACCGCCTACTACTACTCCCTCCTCCTCTACTCCTCCTCCTCGATCCCACCGCCTACTCCTCTACTCCCTCCTCCTCTCTCGCCTACTCCTCTACTATCCTCCTCTGCAGCTCTTACTCTACTCCTCTTACTCTACTCTACTCTACTCTCACCTCCTCTAGTCTTCTACTCTATCTTGATGGTCAAGGACTTAGCCCTTTGGGGCCAAAATTTGAAACTATCTTGATGGCTTTTGTTTGGTATTTGCAATGATGATTCTTTTCACACTTCTAAGTCGAGGCGTTGGCATATGCAATGATGTGAACCCTTTTATGCTGAGGCAGCGGCGATGATGATCGAGTGCCCCCGCTAAACTAGGATGGCTTGTATACCAGATACAAGCAACCAGTTTAAAAGCGATGTGATGACTATGGGGCAAATCTGAGCCAACTACTACTACTTTACTACTCTAGTACTACTCTACTTTACTACTCTAATACTACTCTACTTTACTACTCTATAACTGTGTCTATACAACTGAAATATGTATTCATTGTAGCTTTCAATGGCGGAGGAACCGATAAGCTTAATGGCGCGCGACCCTACCCCTAGTGCATCATCATCAACTAGCCTCGAGAGCCACGTGTCCGTGACCCCGAGGCCAACAAAGAAACGTCGTACAGAGGACGAAGATGATCCGACCTACCAACCGAGGGACGACGAAGTTGAAAGTGCGCGGTCTCCAAACCCTAAACAGATGCCGGTGGTGCCTCGAGAATTGAAAGTGCTTGAAGGGGGCACGTTCTTCCATGAGAACAGCCAGCTAGCGATGTTACCGGAGTACGAGAGGCTGAGGAAATGGCCCACGATGATGCGTCCGCAGGATTACACTTTAGCGCATGTATAACGACTTTAATATGTAAATGTAATGAATTAACGATGACAAGAACGACTAAGTGAATGTATATATATATATATATATACATGTATATTATTTCATGTGTAATGTCTGCATACTTTTTAAGTTTAATCTGTGAAATCTGGATGTGATTTGAATTTGAATTTGAATTTATATGCTTGATGTATTTTATTTGAATTTATATATATACTCGCTTTTTTTTTTAATTCAGAAATAATTTACCGAGGCGGCAAATAATAAAGCCCGCCACGGCAAATCAACATAACCACGGCGGGCCACAAAAGGTGCCCGCCGCGGTTAACCTATTTATCGCGGCGGGCGGTGTAACGTGCCCGCCGTGGTAAAGTATATTTACCGCAGCGGGCACGTTAGACCGCCCGCCGCGGTAAATAGGTTAACCGCGGCGGGCAAAGCCGTCCGCCGCGGTTAAGCCACGATTTACCGTGGCCTGTAGGCCGCGGCGGACGGCTTTGCCCGCCGCGGGAAACCCAAATCGCCCGCCTCCAGTAAACTTTATGTAGTAGTGAAAAGAAGGCCACAAACTGATAGAAACGCTATAAGCAGCAGCAATAATCCACGAGTGTCCCCTCGATCACACACACGCCATCGGCTGGCAGTGGCATGGCTACACCTACACTGCAGACTACCATAATCAGGAGCCTACATCAGCCCTACACTAGCTCGGTGCGACGACGGCGGCTGTCGACCGTGGCGGCTCTAGTATTCAGGCATCGTCCAGTCGTCGTCAGGCTGCTGCTGAGCGAGCCCCTTCTCCATGGCGCGCTGCAAATAGAAGCGGGACGGCATCGACACGCTGCAGCGCCACCGCGCGTACTGCCGCACCATCGCCCTGCTGTTGCCTGCGGACACTGCGGGCACCAGGACCTCACCGGGGCCGCCGACGAGCGGCGGGGCGCCGTGGCCCTGAGCCGAGTACATCCATGCCCTATCCCCCGGCAGAGCGTCCTGGTGCAGCGCGCAGCAGCCGCCGAAGCCGCGAGGCTCGTGCTCGGCGTCCGCCAGCGCGAGCTCCGGGCACTGGCACCTCAGCGCCGTCCGGCCGCGCGAGAGCTCCGGCGCCCGGCACTGGCGCATCAGGATGCGGGTAGCGATCGTGATGTGCCACCTTCGGAGACGGTGCCGGAGCCGGGTCGCCCGGGCGGCGGCAGCGTGTTCGCGGCTGTTTCTGCTCTTCGTTTGCGTTCTTGCCTTCTTGATCGGACGTGGAGGGGGCGGCGGCGGCGGCGGCCCGGCCTCCTCCTCGTCGTCGTCGTCATCCGCTATGAAAGACGGCCACGGTGGGGACGACATCCTTTTCTTGCCGGCCTGGTCGTCCAAGCGTGGTCCCGAGAACTGCATCGATGCCTGCTGCGCGGGCGCGGCACAGAGCGCCTGGATTTCCTCGTCGCAGAACAGTGCCTGGATTTCCTCGTCGCAGAACAGTGGCGCGAGCCGCTCGATGTCCCCATCGGAGATCGGCGCCTCGAGGTCGTCCAAGGCGAACGGCGGCGGCGTCTCCTGGAATCGGGCGTACGCGCCGTCCCTGCACAGCAGCTGCGCTTGCAGCTGGAGGGACAGTAGCGGCGACGACGACCGGAGATCGTTGTCGGAGAAGGACAGCAACTCGCACTGGCCGCTCATCAACGCTTGGAATTCGTCATCCGTGAACATCGTGTCCTGTGCATCCTTCTTCGCGAGTGCCGGCGGCGGTGGCGACGGCGGCGGCATGGCACCTGAACCTGATGCTCGTGACAGACGGGACGAGCCGTGGAGGGACGGCGTGCAGTTCGGGGCCATGGCGGAGATTACCACGGCCATTGGCCAGCGCAAGGCTGGTGGTCTATCGCGGCGGAAACGGCGGCGCTAGGGACGACGCGATCGTGGTTTGTTTCTGATGCCCTGGATGGCTGATGATCTCGAACACAATACATTGTGGTCAACACGTCGAGTCGTAACCGACTCGGAATCTAGCCCATCGAAGTCGGTTCTTGGCAGGGGCGGAGGCGGACCCAGCAAAGGCACCTGGGGGAGAGACACACCCGTCGTCGTGGGTGCCACCGTGCCAGGGAGACACAGACACAATAGGCACGCTGGGTCAACCGTCAACAGATTTTTTATATTATTATTATTATTATCATCATTATCATCGTCAACAGAAGGGAAATGCGGCGGATGGCCGGCCCAGTCCGGGATTGTTCGCCCGGGGAGAACTCACGCGGGTCTTCTCCTGGGCCGTTTTTTTCACACGTTTTCTTTTCTACTAATAACTTCTTTTTCCTTTTTTTTTTTCCTGCTAAAAAAGTTTTTTTTTCTCTCAAAAAATACTAATAAACTTCTTTTTTTGTTTTCTCTCTTTCTCTTTCTTTTTTTATTTAGTTTTCTTCTTGATTTCATATCTATCCTTTCCATGGGCTCTATCAATGGCTACTACAACATTAGTTTTAAATAAGAGAAACAATAATGATATTTATTAGTACATTGTAAATAAGTAGATGAAACTTTTTTATATATTTTTATTAAGATTTGAATATTCTTTTATTAAAGAAATAAACCATTTTCACTAGAACGTAGAGCAATTTCACAAACCTAGAACATTTTTTTGTAAATCTACAATAATTTTCCTGAAATAGAAATAATTTTCTCTTTTATGACAATTTTCATGTGAACCTGAAACGACGGTTCCGTGAATTGGTAAAATTGTTGTGCTCAATAAAAAAAATATGGACTCACTAAAAAGTGTTTTAGGTGCTCCAATGAACACTACTAAAGAGCATCAACACTTTGATATCTCGTGAAAAAACTGAGTTTTCCTATCACTCTTTGTGCATTCTGTAGTTTACTTTCTAAGAATTTTTATTCCAGAGTAGAGTTAAAACTTAGGTTGTAAAACATTTTTGTGTGTTATAATAGTCTTCGAACAGTGTCTTGCTGATAGAGTGTGACCTAAGCTCTCTCTGAGGGTACTTGTGATGGCTATTTAGGATTACGGGAGTCCGTGAAAACGAGACTCTTTGTGGGTTGAGTTTTCAGGAAGAAGGTGCCTATCGTGCACCCGAGAACCAAAGTTTTTCATTTGGTGGAGATGTCTTGTTTTTGCCCCTAAGTACTCAGTTGGGTATCGGTTTCACAAGAGCTTCTCGTATACAACATCTAGCCTAGGAGGGCGGGGTCAGATGTCACATAGCTAGGGCAATTCCACTCATATGCAGAGGACATAGGGGATAGTGTATAGGGATGTGGAGCGAAGACTCTAGTGCTCACAAGCCCCTTGTGCCCCTTGTGCCTTAGGACTACGTTTCATAGCCTCAACGTATCGGTGGTACTCTGGGGTGACTAAGGGCTGCCCGATTAGGTAGCAACTCGATGTCAGCCTAGGCGGGGGCACCGCTGACTATGGCAGTACATGTGTATACTTTGCAGAGTTTAAGATTGATACGTATAGTCGTGTATCCACGGTCATGGACGATTTCATGTGTTTTTGCTTCACTTCAACTAGTGACAGACAAGAGCTATCATCGTCGTCTAGAGAGTGTGGTGGTGGTAAGATGAGAGTCCCGGAGGCATGATGTGAGTCAGATGGGATGGATGAGATGGATGAGATGGATGGATAGGATTATGTGGAAGATTATACTTTTGACGACGAGTCACGCTAAGGATTAACCTATGGTCAAATATATAATAGGTTATTACTCTTGCATTTCAATTATCTTATAGCTACGCAATCATAGGGTTAGAACATTGGTTAGTACAACCTGTACCGCATTTTGTTGATACCAGTGATAAGCCCGACTACAACTTTAAGAACAACGTTTGTGAGAATTAGATGATTTGTCCTACGCTCAAGAAATCTATGGAAGATAGCGTCTGCTACCTGCTGTTACACTACATTTTACTTTGATCGTGTTCTAGCCTTTGTAATAATGGGTAATCGTAGTATTGTTTAACCCTTAAACATGTATCGTGATGTATAACTATGATATTAGCTGGACAAACCGTAAGTGTTAGCATAATTTTTCTTGTCACTATGTGCTCATACTTTTGTAGCTCTCTAATCTAAATCGTGGTTTGTTTCGTTTCCGGTAGCAACCGCCGTCACCGTCTTGGTCCTTCGACCGTGGTTTCGTGCATCTCCATCCACCACCGCCCACGCGACACATGCTCAAAATCGAGCCTCCCCACGCGCTGAGACGACTACCGGGTGGTCAACTTTATAACTGCAGCAGCCATGGCAGATGGCATTCGCTGTTCCCACTCCCTGTCTAGCGTCCACTGTCCACCCTCCCGCGAGTCCGTGACGCGTCAGCGTCACCGTCCTTCCTCCATCGTCGCAAACGAGCCCACTGGAGATTTGCTTTCGAACCGCACTCGCCCTCCTCTGTTCCCTCCCTTCCCCGGCTCCTTCTATAGTTGGCTTCTCGCCACCCTCTGCTTTCTATCAGCTTTCCCCCTCTTCTCCCCTCCCCGTTCCCCCTCTCCAACTCCAATCCATGGCCTCCACGGACCGCTCCACGCCGGCGGAGGACCGGCAACAGCCGCAGCGCCCGTCCCTCTTCTCGCCGTACCAGATGCCCCGCTTCCGCCTCGCCCACCGGTGAGCCTACCTCGCGCCCGCCCCTTTGATTCTTCGCCGGGGTCGATTTGGCCTGGCCTGGCGCGAGCTCCGCGTGGGTACTTACTCACGCGTGTCTCTGTGTGTGGACGCGCGCAGGGTGGTGCTGGCGCCGATGACCAGGTGCAGGGCGCCCGACGCGGTCCCGGGCCCCGCGCTCGCGGAGTACTACGCGCAGCGGTCCACGGAAGGCGGCTTGCTCATCTCCGAGGGCACCATCATCTCGCCCTCCGGCCCTGGGTAATCAATCATCTCCGCTCTGCTTTGCTACTGCTTCCGGCTGCCGATCCACGTCTCCGGTGACCCCGTGCTGGGGGTCTTAGATTACTGCGCCACCATACTCTGGTCTCCCCTTTTGACGTCGCCTTCATGTGAGGCATGTGCGCAGCCTTAGGCGGAGAGATGCGCGCGAGATCTGGTGGTCTGGTGGAGACGTGGTCCTCTTGCCTGCGATGGGTGGTTGGGGTCAATTAGCAATGGCGTGCTAATTATCGGTCGGTGTTTGGTGTGAATCGCAATATTATAGTAGTACTGTATTACTATTCATCATGTGGGTTTGGTAATGGTATACTTCGATTAGTATGCTATATAGTCAGTGCTGATTCAGTGGCCTGAACAGATTGGATCTGTTGATATGTATGCTGTTCAAATGCTGCAGTAGAAGTAGAAAAATTAGAGAAACTGGACGCCGTCTCCTGACCCGTGCCATATGGAGAGGGGTTGTTGGGGATCTGGAGCAATCGTACTTATCTGCTTCAAATAAAGTTGGTTCTCATGTACTGAGTGACCCTTAGCTACTGAGTGAGGCTCTGGATTCAAATCATTTTATCTCTGAATCAAGCCAGAGCTGACAAACGTTCTAGACAAAATACTGAAATGACTTGAGGTATCCCTCAGCTACTGAATCAAATAGAATACATTGCAACAGAAAAAGCAGAAGGGGGTCAGTATGATCCTTTCCCCTACACATTCTATAACACTAAAGTGTAATCGTGTTATAGAGCCCATAGCTCTGTAGAGATTCTTTTTTATGCTCATTTCAGATGAACTTTTAGCATGCTGTTTTACATCTGTACATATCTACAGTGTGGAACATTAAGTGGCAACAAATTGTTCTGTCAGGTTCCCTCGTGTCCCTGGGATATACAATCAAGAGCAGACTGATGCATGGAGAAAGGTGGTTGATGCTGTTCATGCCAAGGGAGCTATTTTTTTCTGCCAACTATGGCATGTAGGCCGAGCTTCTCACCAAGGTATGTTAACAGTCCGTGCAAATTTCTACAACTAAACACATATATTTCACGATTCTGCAATTCCTCATAAATTATATTGCAACGCTGAAAATTTCTTTTAGTCAGATTATATCTGCCTTAGGGCTTGTTGGGTTTGGTAGGGATTGGAGGGGATGAAGGGGATTAATAAATCCCTAACAAGTCAAAGTCCCCCTCAATATCCTTCGGTTCCCTCCAATGAAGTTTCAGTGCTTAATGAAGTTTTAGTGCTCCAACCGTGAAATTATATTCAGTCGGAAAGGTTGTCTTTTGATGTAATCATTGTTTGTTGGCAATTTAAGGATGATCTAGTCAGGGTCAGTGGGGACCAGAAAGTTTCTGGCTTGGAATTGGACAGTTACCTGGTTCCCTAGTTTTTCACTGTAATTGCTTCTTCTCTGAGAGAGCAACGAACAACTGCTGCCTTTCATTGATTTTCAGTCAATGCACTACAGTCTGCACCTCTTCAGATAGTAGATTACACATTACAGCGTTCAAAGTAATATGTGCTATTTTAGTAATTCACCTTGTCGATCACTCGATTGTATGCTCCTTATCTAAAGTCATCTGATACCGTGCTGATGACTGTCATTAGTTTCTTTACTCTAGCTGTGAATAGTATTGTATTTTTGTTTGAACTTACTGATATCAACGTAGAGTACTAGAGTGTCACAACATCGGGGGCTGACTAATATTTATTCACCAATTAGTGTATCAACAAATCATTTTAATTTTCTTTAATCTGAGTGTTGGTGGCAGCAAATTTTGGGATCATCCAAACCAACTGATATTGACTCAAGGCCACTAAATTTCCCCCCCCCACTAATCAGTGTATCAGCCGGGTGCTGCTCCTCCAATATCCTCTACTGATAAGCCAATATCATCAAGATGGAGGATACTGATGCCTGATGGATCCTATGGCAAGTATCCAACTCCGAGGCGCCTAGCCACATCCGAGATACCAGAAATTGTTGAACAGTATCGTCAAGCTGCCATAAACGCCATCAAAGCAGGTACCTGGATGAACATGCATCAATTCTCAATGATTACACATTGGACCCCAACCCAAACCATAGTCAGTCTCATAGACGATCAGAAAATCCTTCTGTTTACTACATGCTCATCTGGAGATGAAATGTGCTTGCAGGTTTCGATGGCATCGAGATCCATGGCGCTCATGGCTACCTCATCGATCAGTTCCTCAAGGACGGTATCAACGACCGGACTGATGGGTATGGTGGCTCACTCTCCAACCGTTGCCGGTTCCTCCTGGAGGTGACCCGAGCCGTGGTCTCTGCGATAGGGGCAGACCGCGTCGCGGTCCGAGTGTCCCCGGCCATTGACCATCTTGACGCCTACGACTCCAACCCTCTGCAGCTCGGCCTGGCCGTGGTGGACCGTCTCAACGCTCTCCAGCAGGAGGCCGGGCGGCTGGCCTACCTCCACGTGACGCAGCCACGGTACACGGCGTACGGGCAGACGGAGTCGGGCCAGCACGGGAGCGCCGAGGAGGAGAGCCGGCTGATGCGTGCCCTGCGGGGTGCCTACCGTGGCACGTTCATGTGCAGCGGTGGGTACACGCGGGAGCTCGGCGTGGAGGCCGTCGAGTCCGGCGACGCCGACCTGGTGTCGTACGGGCGGCTGTTCATCGCTAACCCGGACCTGGTGGAGCGGTTTTGGCGCGACGCCCCGCTGAACAAATACGTGCGCAAGACGTTCTACACCCCGGACCCCGTCGTCGGTTACACGGACTACCCATTCCTTGGCCAGCCTAAGGCGCGCATGTGATTAGTAGGTTGCTAATTATAAGAGGCGGACTATTGTTTGTGTATTGTCAATTGTGACTTGAGAAAATAAGCAAACATACGGGTAATACCGCCATTGTTATGTACTCCTGTAGATGTGTTACCAACAATATCCGGGCCAACAGATTGTATCCTGATAGCTCAACGAGAAAATGGTGTACTTAATGGGGGAAATGGTGTTCTTATTCAAGTTTCTCCAGGCCTATTTGCACTCATGAAAATGTATACGCTCGAGGGTCGAGACAAGTCATCAATTCCACGAAGTGGGTGAATCTGGTAGCTTTTCCACAATTCCACCCAATCAATTAGTACGCCTAATCGTTGTGGTACCCTAATTGAAGGTTCTTAATGGATAATAAAAATTCTAATATTCATGGGACTAGGACATGGACGAGTGATAAACATACATAGGGCATGTTTGGATCGATGTCACAGTTTTTGAAAACTGTAATATCAAAGCCAAAACAAAAATGTGGTTTAGAAAAAAAAATCATAAGTGGAGTTTTTAAAACTCCAAAAAGACCACTGTTTTCATAAAACCATGGTTCTAGAGACTATATGATTTAAAAAGGGCGTACCCAGTGCAAAGAGCTCCCGCTCTGTGCGGGGTCTGAGGAAGTGTGTTAGTGGCAAAATTTACCCTCGTCTGCTGTCACACCCGATTTTAAGGATACTTATGTGCGCCCAGAGATCAGTCACACACATAAGTCCGACAAATTATCAATAGTATCATCGTAAATGTTTATTACATTACGAATGATAAGACAGAGTCTTCACGTGAATGTAGCGGAAGTATAAAGAAAATATCTCTCGCGGAAGCTCCATATCACAGGGACGTCAACTGGTTGGCCACAAGTCTAGTATTCCTCGGGAAAATCATCATTACCATAGCCATCTATTACCCATCCGAGATTTTTATTCAAATAATGAAAATAAACAAGCGTAAGTATATGTCGTACTCAACAAGTGTAACATGGGGTTCAAGAGGCTTAAAAGGCTTGACACAGGTTTAATAGCATTCAGCTTTTAGTTGTCACAATTTTAGCACAAAAGTAGCAACAAGTTATCTTGATTCCCAAAGTAAAACACATGATCAATGTAAACATGAATAATGAATAGCATAAACAGATAATTCTTAGTGATAATCTATTCCATAAATGTTCCAAGACCGCTCGTGACCATGAGCATGACTGATATACTAGTTTTACACTCTGCAGAGGTTGTATACTTTCACTGTGAGTCGTGATACCCATATGCCCGGGTTTATAACTCCCAAAACACTTTCAAGGTGAGTAGGCATGGGTCACTATGAAGCCTTTCAAAGGTTCATCTAACAAGTTAGGGCCACTAGATTTCTGTGGCCTACGAATGTAGGGCTCCCCTTCCGACAAGCATAATAACACAGCCTATACACTGACGGACAGAGGCCACACTATATCCAACCCGGAACACACCCCTCTTGCGCCATAAAGGTAACATCTAACGAGCTATAAAAGGTCCTCATACTGAGCTAAAACCAGAGCCATGTAGCCCTCACAGCTGTACTGTAAGTCCTGGATGATCACTTACAGATAAGTCTTTAGGGAGAGAAATCTAAAGCATTTAGAAAGTAGCTAAACACTTCAGCCCCCTGTTTTCAAGTTGTTAAAAAGTCATATTTTAATGTTTATTGCATATACCATTAGTCAAGTTACAAGATCATGATTTAGTTGAGCACTAGCAAAGCTACTCAATACATATCCCATAGAAGACAAGGTATACGTTCAATTCTAGGGAATTCTTATCGAGGTGACACATGCAACATGAATTAAATGCATTAAAGTTGATAGAAAACAAGGATAATCTCATGCTACACTTGGCTTGAACAAAGTACTCTTGCTATTCCTGCTCGTCAAAGTAGTATTCTTGGTCTCCCACGAATTGCTCATCGTCTATACTCGATAACCACAGCAACATACAGGCATCCAGAAGCAATCATGCATAGCAAACAAAAGCTATAGATTAGAACAGTACACCAATCAACATAAAATCAAAGATGAAAAGTTTATAAAACGAATGTACATCTCGCTAAGATCACACAGACGTGAAGATCACAAAAATCGAAGCTAAAACGAAGAAGTTATGAATTAAACAAGATTTCCTTTAGTAGAATAATAGATTAAATTTAACCTCGAATTTTAAAAGTTGAAAACATACTTAACAGTAGTATGAACATGTAGATTATAGAATTACGAACCTAACGCAAGTTGAACGGATCAAATCAGAGTTAAAACAGAGATTTTATGGCTAAAACAAGATTAGTGGCAAAACTGTAAATATGTGAAAACGTATTTTGGATCTAAACCGAAGAAACTACGCTTTCTAAAGAAGAAAACGTATTCTGGGAAGGTGCTATGGAAAAACACAGGGACGGCGGGTTAAGACTCAAATAATTGCAATGGCCTTTTTACAAAAATGCCAACGAAGGGGTATGTTCTAATCCTGGCCCTTGATCTTAGATTGGATGGATGGGAGGGACTGGCGTGGCCAGCCGGCCGGAACAGGACCGAGCGTGGCGGTCCTCCATGGACGGCGACGAGAAGCTCGCCGGCGTGCGCAGTGTAGGGCCTACGGACCACCACTTGGTGAACCAAGAGCACGAGGAGAGAGAGGAGATGATGACGAGCTCGGATAGGTACCTTACCAAGGCGCGGAGCGGACGGAGGCGGCGTGGAGCACGGCGAGGCAGACAACTCGTCGGCGGCTAGGGTTACGCGGCGGCTGCTGCTCAAACGACGACGGCGGTTGCTGCTGCTATTTATGGATGAAGCAACATGGGCAGCACGCCAAGACAAGGCGTATATGGCACGGACATGGAGCGGCGATGGCGGCGGTTGTGTCCAGCTCGGACACGAGCGCGAGGTGGAAGACGGTGACCCTGACAGGGAGGGCCCACCTGTCGGCGAGAGGAAGGAGAGGAGAGGCGTGGGCGGCTGCACTGGGCCGGCCTGCTTGCTGGGCCGCGGGAGAGGAAGCAGGCCACGCAGGTAAGCAGGCCATGCGGGTAAGCCAGCCGAGCTGGGCTGCGGTGGAAGCGGGCCTGCGGCCAGGAATCAGAGAGAGGAAGATGGCCTTCAGGCCAAAAGCCAAGGGAGGGAGGGAATTTCCTTTTTCATCTTTCTTTTCAAATTTTCCAAACCAATTTTGAAAGGCAAATTCAAATCAATTTGAAGTTTGATTGCAAACCACACAGTACAAAAATATTATGCAGCAGCATGAATGCACATACATGTAGGTAAACCTTATATTTGATTTTAATTTTAACAAAGTTATTGTTTTTCTAAATTCAAATGCCCACAAAAATGCATAATAAACCAAATTCTTCTAATTTTAAAATGTTGAAATTTTTTAGGATGTTACACCTGTGCAATGTGAGGAGACCGCGACTCGAACCCGAGACCTTTCGGTCACCGGCGGTAAGACTCTACCGCTTGCACCAGACCCGCCCTTCAGAAACTATATGATTTGTTGTATCTTTTTTTTTTTTGAGGGAGCAGGGGGGACGAATAATCACCACCTGATTCAATCCACGTATTCTGGTCGAAGCCGGTGATCGAAGTGTTTGTGCTCGGGCACTTGCAGTACAAAGGCCGTAGCCTGAAATAATGAAAGCATTACATGGTGTGTGTGTTTGGGGGGGGGGGCAGAGTAGGACTACTACTTTGGGACAAAGAGCTCACACCATACATCAGAGACAAAAGGCAATTGGGGAAGGGAGTCGGCACCGGAGCTTGCATTCTTCTCTGCATTTGGCTCTCAATCTTGCCATGCTTGGTTCTTCTCCATTGAATACAACTTCCGGAGCATCCAACAGCAAAGTAGCAGTAGGGTGGAGAGGCCGGTAGAGGGGATGTGAGCAGGCGGGGAGGCCCTGTTCGCTTTGCTGAAAAGATAGGTGAAAAGTATTGTTCGCTGGTTTGTTGTGAGAGAAAAACACTGTCTATGGCTGATAAGCTCAAGCGATCAGGGCCAACATGCAGATTACTTGAAAGTGGCAGGTCAGAGGCTTCCCAGCCTATGGATATCCAGAAATTTTGGAGAAGGAACACCCAGAGATGATGTGGTCTGTGTCCTCTGGGGTGCCTTGGTGACAGCAAACTTCACAGGCATCGTTATCCACAATGTGTTTGAGCAGTAGGTTGGTTTTACACTGGGTGCATTGGTGAACAAGAAGCCACCCGAAATGCTGAACTCTTGGAGGGGCGAAGTTCTTCCAGACGAAATCATGAAATTGCCAAATCACATCTGAGTTTGTGGAGGCACGGTAGATTGCAGCAGTGTGAAGAGGGACGGCTCTGCCCAAGACTTGTAGAAACGAGATGTTCTTTTGTCAGGCTCGGAGGATAGGACAGTCTGATCACAAAGCTGCAGGACGCATTGCAGTTCATGTTGGGCAGCGCGTGATAGCCTCGGCGCAAGCGTGGCACTGAGATAGAGCAGAGTTCCTTCACTGTAATGTCCGGCTTGGTGGAGTGATCAAATAGGGCTGCGTAAACCAGAGATAGAGCAGAGTTGCCATACCAAACGTCTAGCCAGAAGGATGTGTTCGCGCCATTTCCAACTTCCGCACAGGTGACAGTTCTGTAGGCAGGGACCAGGGATTGCAGCGACTTCCAGTGTGGCCCTGAGACGTCATCGTCCAGGATTCCATGGGAGGCTTGATCTTTGATCCACAGCGTCCAAGATGAATCCGTCGGGTGGAACAGGCGATCAAGTGATTTCAGCAGCAGGCATGCGTTCTGCACTCCAAGCCGGCGGATGTCCAGCCCTCATTCAATTTTAGGTTTGCAAGCAGTTTCCCAGGCTATGAGGCATTGAGAGCCGTGTGTGTGATCTTTGCCGGTCCACAGGAACGCGCGAAGCCTAGCATCAATCTTCTCTAGAACACAAGCAGGAAGAGCAATGACAGCCATAGCATAGCCGGGAAGGAGGTAGCACTTGATT